AAATAATGTAAGCTCACATAACTAGGAAATATTCAGTGATTTTGTTAAGGTCAGAGGTTGTTTTTCCCTTGAAGACACCAGCTGGGGACTATACAAAAAGTGATAAGGAGAGAGTGACAAATGAGAGCTGAGCAGAGCCAGCAGTTGGTGAAAAGAAGAGCTGAGCTGGACTGGTGAAAGGCAGTGCTGGGGTGAAGATGCTGTGTTTGGTGAGGAAGAAGGGGAAGAAGGTGCTCAAGCAGAAGTTTCCCAGCAACCTATGGTGAGATGGCAGCTGTGCCCCTGCACTCACGGAGGAACGTGGTGGAACATTCCCTGAAGGCTCCAGGAGGGGTGAATGTTGATTTGCTGCCAGTGGACTCTGATTGTGCAGCTTTGGAAGACCCTGGTGCCGGGGGAGGTGGCTGTTCCCAAAGCAGTCTGTGACTCTGTGGGAAGCCCAGGCTGGAGCAGCTCCAGACCTTGTGGGAAGGACTCATGAAGGAGAAGTTCATGGAGGACTCTCTCCCATGGGAAGGACCCTGTGGGGAAGCAGGGAAGGACTGTAAGGAATCCTTCTTCCTGAGGAGGAAGGAGCAGCAGGAACCACCAGCCTGTGAACTGACTCTAAACCCCATCCCCTGTCCCCCTGTGCCGCTGGGGGGAAGAAGGGAGAGAAACCAGGAACAAAGTGATTTGGGCCCGGGAAGAAGGGAGGGGTGGGATAACGTGTGCAAGCCCTGCTCTGTGTGTTGTCTGTGTCCTGTGGGCATTGGATTAGTGTGAAATTAAATTATTATGTTTTCCCCAAGCTGAGTCTGTTTTGCCCGTGACCTTAGTCAGTGAAGAACCTGCCTTGTCCTTTGTCTCGACCCACGAGCTTCTAGTTGGGCTTTGTCCTTCTCATCCCAGAGTGTGTGTGGGGGGAGGGCTTGAGTGAATGGCCGTGGGGCTGGTTCTTTGTTGAAATGTTAGGCCCAAACCACGACAAGCTGATAAAAGATTTCTTCTCCATAACTGCAGTTAAAAGATGAGTTTCAACTGTTGTAAGACTGTTCTGAAATCTGTGCTGTGTGAACTAAGTAAAGGCAGGTTTTTTTACACCTCTTTTAATGTTTTAGATTAAAAAAACCTCAGAGTTCTTATACTGCTGTGACATTAGAAAGACTACTTTTTAGTATTAAGAAAGACATTTTTGCATTATAGTTTTACATGAGAATATTGACCTGTTAGAAGATTCTCAGTAGCATCAGCGTTGGGTTGATAGTATTAACCGAGAGCTGGTTAGTGTAGCTAAAGTTGTACTGTTCCTTTGAACAAAATTCAACATGGAAGTTCCTGAAATGCTAATAATCCATAGTGGTAATAGAATTTCAAACATACATTGGTGTGATGCAAGTTAGTTTGTGTCAACTTGTCTGAAGTTACCCCATGAAGGAAATCCATTGCTAGCTGCCTGTGAGTGTGCGAGGGGTCTGGATCCCAACGTTTCTTGCCTTCTTGACAATAAAATGCACCTGTCACTCTCCCTCTAAGTCCTCCAAATGCATATTCCAGCGTGTAGATGCTGCTGGAAGACACAAGCTTCCCACTGCACACCTTTACTTAATCACATTGGTTTTGAATTCAGCTCCTTTGCTGCATCCTCACCTTTGCTGCCTTCTTTCTGGGAAGCCACATCACAGATTTCCTCATTTGTCCTGAAGAAGCTTCCACAAGGTCCTACCCAAAACTCCACAGCAATGCCCTCATGCGCAAAGACGGAACAGAGGGGAGGGTGGGAATGGAGGAGAGGTAGTGCCCCCCACCAGTGTTCTCAGCATGGGATAAAGGAAGTTCAACATTGCCACAGCTACCAACTGTTGTTGGTAACAGTAATGCTTCCTGGCAGAGCACACATTCTGTACACATCAGTGACTACAACAACATGTAGTAAATGAGGTCATAAAAGCTAAACAAGCCATACCATTGAATTCTTAATGTAGGCTCCATACAGCTGCAGTGAATTTCCAGCACCTGTACATGCTTCGCTCTGAGTTAGATACTGTCAGGCACCGAACTGCAGAAAAGTTCTGTGGAAGGTTAAGGCTTTACCATCTGTGATGCAGTTTAAATACCAGTGTTACTCAGACTGAAGCTATGGTGTGTCTTTGCCATCTACCGTATGATTTCAGCGTATACATGTGAGCAGGTTATTAACCATGAATCATCTTATTGACTCTTGCCAGTCTGAACAAATTACTGTATAATCTTTAAAATTTGATTAACAAACAAGAGTGTGCTGTCAGCCAGCAGCATGCTGTTTGGCTGAGCCCACGAGGTTCCTCCTCAGGAAACCAGGCAGATAACGATGGATTTGCTGTGCTATTTACAGGGTGACTCCCTCCCTGCCAAAGTTCCGTTGTCAACCTCTGCTGCAGTTGGCAAACCTGAGACACATTGCTTCTGAGTAGCTGATGTATTTAGATTTTCAGCCCTGCACAAGCAATCTAGACAGTGGCAGTTAACCTGATCTCATTTCCCTGTGTGGAAAATGGTTCTTCAGCCAAACTGAGCTTCCTGTCTTCCCAAGATACATGCCTTGTTATGCAGTCAGGTGAGCAGTGCCATGCTTTCCCATAGGCTTGCACCAATGTAGCTTCTGATCATAGCCCCAACCAAGACTCTTCCTCTTTTCCTATGTTTACTTTCCAGATGTCCCTCTTTGCCTTGGGTGAGCATGGTGTTACTCCTCCTGTTGTCCTTTGCTTTTTCTCCTATAGTGGGTCACACTGTGTATCTTTGAATACACCAATCACTAGAAATGCAGATGCCCAGACTGTTTTGACCTCTGTCAAGATTAACTGTATAGCTTTAAAATGTTTAAAACAAAAAACCCAAATATAACAAACAACTTGCAGATGTTTCAAAGCTCTATGTTTGAAAAGGGAAGTTTTCTCCAGTGCCTAAAAGGCTTAGAAGGTGGGGACCTACTGCATTTATTATACGCACAGAGGTACTGCTTGTGCACGGAGCTTTGTGTTGCAGGTGATGCTGCAAGATCTGTACCATTGCTGGGGTCTCACAGAACTGTCAGAGTTGGGAGGGACCTCCAGAGATCATCCAGTCCAACTCCTTCACTAAACCAGGATGCTAGAGCACATTACTCAGGGCTGCATCCAGGTGGGTCTTGAGTATCTCCAGAGAAGGAGACTCCATTGTCTCCCTGGGCAGCCTGTTCTACTGCTCTGTCACCCTCATAGTAAATAATTTTTTCCTCATATTTATATGGAACTTCCCGTATTTCAGCTTGTCCTTCCCATATTGCCCCTTGTCCTCTCACGTTGCCCCTGTATGTCTTGGGAACTACTGAAAAGAGTCTGGCTCCATCCCCCTTTCACCCACGGTTTAGGTACTTATAGGCATTAATAAGGTTCCTGTGGGCAATAATAGAAGCTGGAATTGACTGTAGTAGTTGTCCTCTGTGCATGTACCCTGGCCTGAGCTACTGCAAAACCAAGTTTGACTCTTGCACAATTTTAACTGTTTCCTAATGATGTGCTTCTTCGTGTTCATCCACTATCCAGGTCTTCCCTCCATGTTATCCTTCACTTCAAAAATCACAGAATCATAGAGTCATAGAATCATAGGGGTGGGAAGGCACCTTTGAAGATCGTCGAGTCCAACCCGCCTGCTGCAGCAGGAACACCTAGGGCAAATCACACAGGAATTGTCAAGACAGGTCTTGAAAGCCTCCAGAGAAGGAGACTGCACAGCCTCCCTGGGCAGCCTGTTCCAGTGCTCTGGATAACAGGAAAATGGGCATTGGCTGCAGCTTAGCTATGGACGTGTGTGGAATACAGAACACTATAAACAAAATAATAGATAAAAAAATTATTTTCAACAGCAAATGTTCCTGTGAACAACCTCCTACAGTTGATGATTTAAGCAGATGATGTAAAGCAGACACGAGAGGCCAACATGCACAATAAATGTGGATCAGTGAAGCAATGGCAAGGTCTCCTAGAACATTCTAGCACTGGAGTCCTGAGAAGCTGAGAGCTTTCAGTCTCGTGTGGAATGAAACCTTGCCTGGAAGGTTTCTGTCCCACCTGGGCAGGAAGCAGTTTCTGGCAGGAAAAGGTGAACATGCAACAGGTTTTGTATTTTTATGTTTGATCTGAAGTATTAAAGGATTCTTGGCTTTGGCCCCAGAGGTTCATTCCTTGTGCTGCAAATTTCTAGATAGCTCCGACAAAAATGGCAAGTGTTGGTGTTGAGCAGAATTATGATTTAGATATAGGAAAATAGGCAATATGGTAAAAAAGCAAAAGGTTAACTCTCAGATCTTATGTAAGGTTATCACTTAAACCTTGCAGGTCCCTTAAGCTTCTCTCAAGCTTTTGGGCAACTGATGATGGTCAGTATAGTGCAGCAAAGGGTGAACTTCTTTATTTTGACCCTATATGGAAAATTAAATTTTCTGGCCCTTATTTTGATGCCTCTCAAATTCGGTTGAAAAGGAGGTATTCAATAGATTTGAGAAGTGTGCATAAACGACGTAAAGTTGTCATAAAGTTTCATCAGGTGCAGGGGGAGTGTCTGAGTTTGTGCTTGACTGCTGCCCTGGTGTTCAAGGCGAATGTCCGTTTTCAGCTTTCATTTTAATTTCCTAAGTATAAAGAGACAATCACTATCTTTTGGGCTTCATTTGCATGCTGTCAGAGATTTAAGCTTCAAATCCTATTGCCAGTGATTGCCGAGCTGGCTTGTTTAAAGCAGCTGCTTTATCTTGGTGCACACGAAGGGCGATTCCTTCCCTTGGTTTTAAAGGCAGCTCTTCTGCAGGCGGGATGAGGCACAAGGCTGCTGGGTTCAGCTGAGCTGACCGATGTTTCATGTTCCTGTGCAGCCGTGGTGGTGCTCGGGGAGTGCTGAAGCGCGGGGTTTTGCTCTGTGTTCGCAGGCGGGGCAGCAAAGCATGAGGTGACCCGGCGATGTGAGCGGTGAGCCCGGCGGCCGAGGCGCTCCCGGCGCGCACCATGGAGGACTGCCTGCACACCTCCTCCGAGAACCTTTCCAAGCTGGTGAGCTGGGCGCACAGCCACGGCACCATCTGCAGC